ACCTATCTAGATTTTATATCAGCATGTATCAGCATTATTACTCCTTGCGCAACAGGCGATCAAAGAGAGATGTGGGCTTGATTAATGCTGTTTGGCTAAAATAGGTTGTTATACAACAGCTACTACTACTACTACTGATGCTGCTGCAGCTGCTACCACTACTACTGATGCTGCTACTACTGCTTCTACTATTATCACTATTACTGCTGCTACCGCCATTGCTGTTGTTGTTATTTTGATAATGTCATTCGAGTGTATATTAATCTGTTGTAGTCTTTTGGTGGTGTTTTACCGTGTTGTTGTTATTGTTGTTGATGATGATGATGATGATGTTGTTTCTGTTGTTGATGATGATGATGTTGTTGTTGATGATGATGATTATGTTGTTGTTGATGATGTTTTTGTTGTTGTTATTGTTGTCAAATTTGATTTATATTTTGGCCGGGGACAGTGTGAATAATGGCGGCAAAATGTTGGCGCTTGCTCTTATTTTGTATTTTTGCATCATCAGTTTTTTCTTCGTATTTTGTGTCGTTATACCATTTCTATTATTGTATATTAATATTATAAATATATTATAAATGATGATGATTATTATAAATAATTAATATTAAATACTAATAATATAAATATTAATTAAAATACAATTTATAATATAAAGTATATTATAAATTGTATTTTAATTTCAAAATCATTCATTTGTACACTTTTTCTAATTATTTTCCCAACACGCATTTTTCTGTGTTTTTCCTTTAATAATGATTTTATTTCAAAATCGATTTTGGAAAAAAAATGCTATTGATCAATGATTGACAATTTTTCAGAGAGAGAGAGAGAGAGAGAGAGAGAGAGAGAGAGAGAAAGAGAGAGAGAGAAAGAAAAAAAGGAAAAAAAGAAAAGAGAGAAAGAGAGAGAGAAAGAGAGATTGAAAAACGGTGTCACAAATTTCTAGAAAACATTCTTACGTCAACTATTACAACTCAAACAAAATAGTAAAAAGGCTAAGGCGCATAGTCCTACTGTCGTGACATTTTTTCGCTACTACTAATACATTTACAATGAGTTATGAAAGTTTAATAGCGTAGAAATTATCAAAAATAACGCTGAAACTGCTTATAAGGTATTTTAAGTAATGCATTATTTTACTTGTATCTATTAAAGATATTACTTCTACTACTATTGCTGCTGAAACTATTTCTACGACTTGTACTACTACTACTAGCTTGCATGTCTTTGCTACAAGCTCGTAATCATATTTTTACGTGAAAGAATTTCAAAGCGAGAAGAAGAAAACACATACACACATATAAACACTCACATACACACTTACATAGCTACACACACATAACCAAAACAACGCTGGTACACAATTTTGTTTGTCAGAACTACAGAGCGTAGTTGATGTTTTACTTGGGATATATTTAAGTAAACCATTTGAGAAAACTTGGAAAAAGTGGTAAAGAATAAAAAGAAAAAAATCTAGAATGATAGATGAATAGATAGAGAGAGAGAGAGAGAGAGAGAGAGAGAGAGAGAGAGAGAGAAAGAGAGAGAGAGAGAGAGAGTGAGTGAAGAAACGAATAAACTTTTTTGATTTTTTCAATTGACAGATATCATGAGTTATGTTATGTTGCCATAGAAGGCTATGTGATGACGTCATTATGAATTTAAAAGTGAACTAACATAGCAACAAGTAGATAGAAAAAATGTTTATAAATAATAGAATGGAATCTATTGCAAAACATTGCTTTGTTTTAATACACATAACAACAACATCAAAAAAAACATCAACAAAAACTTCAAAACAAAAGCAATCAACAGCCTTAATAATAACAAGAAAAAAAAGACAACTCAATAATCACAACGTCAAAGAATCAATACAATGAAATTGACATCTCAGAAAATGACAAAATCATAAATACAACAACAACAACAACAGCAGCAGCAACAACAACAACAACAATACCAGCAACAAAACAAAACACAAATACAACAACAGACATAAATATTGCGAATCCCAAAAGCAAACAACAAAAACAGCAGCAGCAACAACAAGAACAGCAACAAGTGCAGAGCGATTCGGCGCACGATAAATGGAACGCTACAAAATAAAAATGAAACCAACAACAGCAACCACACAAACCCAACAACAACGACAACAAAAACTACACACAACAACGATCTTTCAACAACATTTCAACAAAACAGCTCTGACACAACTAAACAAACTACAAATATCAACAACAGAACAACACAATAAACATCAACAACATCACAAAACCAACTAACTGACAACAACAACAACAACACTTTTCCGCGTCAAAAACTGAATTTAAGCTTGTAAATCATTTCGAAGCTCGTTATGTATCTCTAACGATTTTGGTTTCATTTGTTGTTTGCTGTTGCTTATGACGTTGTATGTTATTGTTGTTTTGGTTGTTTGTTATTGTTGTTGTTGTTGTTGCTAAAGTTTCTGTTGATGTTGTTGTTTGCCGTTGCATATGATGTTGTTTGTTTGTTGTTGTTTGTTTGTTGTCGTTGATGTTTTTACTGCTGTCGTTGTTGTTGTTGTGTTTGTTGTTGTTTATGTTTATGTCATTTTCCATGTAACTCCAACGATTTTGGCTCTGCCACGTGATGTTTGTTGCTTCTTATGACGTGTGATTTGGTTGTTGTGATGTTGTTGTTGTCTACGTTGTTGCTGATGTTTATAATGTTTGTGATGTTGTTTACGTTGTTGTTGTATATGTTGTTGTTTGTGTTGTTGTTTTAGTTGTTTATGTCGTGTATGTTGTTGTTTTTGTTGTTGTTCACATGCATTTCTAACGATTTTATTCCCATACACTCGTCGCTTGATGTTGCGTGTGATGTGTGATATTTTTTTTTATTAGCGATGCTATCATTATTTATGCTGCTGTTGTTTTTGTTGTTGTTCATGTTTTTGTTTGTGTTGTTTTTGTTGTTGTTTTTTACTGTTGTTATTGATTTTTTTTTGTTCATTTTGATATCATTGTTGTATATCTGTTGCTTATGTTGCTTATGTTGTTGTTGTTGTTTTTGTTGTTTACGTGTATGATTTCGTTTCTATTTGTTGATTTATATGAACGATTTTGGTGAAATATCGTTAGAGATCAAATCATACAGCTGTCAGATTGAGTTTTAGACGATAATGTTTTTTCGTCGTTGGTGTAGTTGCCGTTGTTGTTGTTGTTGTTGGTAATGTAGTAACAGTAGTAGCCAAAGCAACTGTAACAATGTCAGCTGTCGTAGCGATATAAGCTGTAGTAGCAGTAGAAGTAGCAGCAGTTACGGCCACAGTTGTAATAATAATAGTATTTGTAGGAGTAGTATTAGTTGCAGTAAAGAAAAAAGAAAGTAAAAAATATACAAGTTGTTGACGTATTAGTAGTGGTAGCAGCAGTAATGGTAGTAGTAGAAGTAATGGAGCAGCTGCAACATTAGTAGTAGTAGTTGTTGTTGTATTGGCAGTGGTAGCAATAGTTGTAGTTGTTGTGTTATGGGTGTTGTTGTTGACGTCTTTGGTGTCCTTCATGTTTTTTTTTATTATCTGGAGAGGGAAAAATTATTTTTGCGGCTGAAAGTAAGCTTACCACGCAGCAATATTGATGACTGAATGAAATAATTTCTTAGTATTTCTACATTGTTTAACGGAAAACATTATTATTATAATTATTATTATAATAATTATTATTATTATTATTGTTCACATTATTGTTTACATTATTTATTTATTATTACTATTCTTTTCATTATTCATTTATTTGTTATTATTACTATTATTTTTTATTGAACTATTTTTCAGTTTTTTTCTCGGAAAATTAATTTTCGAGAGGCGTTTTATTTGATTAAAAACGCTCGACGTGTCTCAGTCATCAGTTGAATTTTAATTTTTTTTACATTTATTTATTTTTTCAATCATTTACCCACTTGATCGATCGTTCATTCATTCATTTCAACGAACGAACGAACGAACGAATGAATAAACGAACGAACGAACGAAAGAACAAACGAACGAACAAATGAATGAACGTATGAATAAATAAAACATGGTAAAATGAAAACATTATTAGAAGAATTTAGATTAATATGAACGTATGCAGTAACATCTCCATCCTGAACAGCTGGAGACCGCCCAACAATGGCTGAATTATTTTGCGCGTGTCGCGAAGAGTGTGTAGGCGCGAAAATTGTAAATAAAAAATATGAATAAAACAAAATATGAATTTTAAAATATGAAAAATAGGAATTATTATATATAAAAATATAATTATTGACAAATAAAGTCAAATAAATGTATATGTGGTTATCATGATAGCTCAGTCGGTAGGAGTGCTATACATCTTGCGTCGTTGATCTATTCCGCTGTGACCTAGTTCGAACGCCACTGTTGGAAACTTAAATTTGTATAATAGGCATCATATGTGTGTATGATAAGGTGTGTTTTGGCGTGTATGTGTGTGTCGTGTGGTGTGAGTGTGCAACAATTAAAAAAAATTTATTAACAATGAATAATCATAACCATGGAACGCGAAAAACAACATAGGATGAAATATTATCATAAAATAAGCAAAAATCAACAAACACACACACAGACAGAAAGACAAAAAAAGAGAGAAAGAGAGAGAAAAAAAGAGAAGGTGCAAAGAGAGAGAGAGAGAGAGAGAGAGAGAGAGAGAGAGACGGAAAGAAACAATGAGAAAGAGCACATACACTCACATGATAGAGCTTGAGGGATGGTGACCATTTTAATATGTTATATGTCATCCAAATATGTAATTACAATTTCTCGTGACTTCTATAAATTAGATAACAATAAAAAACAAATATTTCAATATTTATAAAGCGTTATTGAAAATTGTGACACACGCACACACACGCACACACACGCACACATGAACACACGCACACATGAACACACATACGAACACACACACACACACACATTACGAAAAAATATGAACGAGAGGAAGTGAAAAAATATGAACATAAAGAATAATAAGCACACAGCGTTACGTCACCGCATAGATCTGATGACGTCAAATTAGCATAGAAATTGAATCTCTCTCACAACTTTATATTTATCTCCTTTCTATGCTTCGCTTTTTAAGTTAGCTGGGATCATGGGCGATATTGCACGCGTTTACACTTTCTATTAATGTATCCATGGAATAGCATCAACAACAACAACATCGTCAACAACAACAACAACCAAACATCAACAACAACCAAACATCAACAACAACATTGAAAACAAATTATTTCTAGTCCAAACGTTACAAATGTTACAAACATCAAGATAGACAAAAAACATTGACAAATAAACAAATGCCTTCTTTTAAAGTTTTTTTTGGCTCGTAACAAATCCTCTCACATTAATCTTGCATCAAGATCTAAAGTAGCTTGACAGCAATGAAAATGTTGTTTGCAACATAAATTACATTAACGTCAAAAAAACCACAACAACAACAACAAAACGACATCACCAACAAAACAATAACCACGACAACATCACCAACAAAACAAAATACAAACAACGGAACGCACGTAGACAAATATATTGACAACAAACAAAGACAACCAAACACGAACAACGACAATAAAAACAAAGACATCAAAAGAAAGACAAATCAAAACAACAAAAACATAGCATAACAACAATTTATTACATTTGCGACTGGTTTCTGACACGCATGGCCGAATGAACCAACACAAAATACTACTATATTCTCTGTCGGTACTGGTGAGGCAGATCTGATGACGACGACCATGATGATGATGAGGATGACGGATGATTATAATGATGATGATGATGACGTTGACGATGATGACGATGATGATGACGACGATGATGATGAGGAGGAGGAGGATTATAATGATGATGATGATGACGTTGACGATGATGATGATGACGATGATGATGACGATGACGATGATGATGATGATGACGATGATGATGATGATGAGGGCGATGACAACGACGCTGACGTAAACGATGATGATAATGATGATAAAATTCGTCATAATTTCATAATAAAATCACCCCCCCAAAAAAAACAGCCCCCAACATACGATTGAAATCTCGGAATGCGGATTATTTATTGGACGAAGGTAGCAGCGTTGTTATGGTTTGCGAATTTCTGGCAGACTGGTTCAATGCATTTGAACAACCTGTTAGTTTGTATGTTTGTGTGGTTTGTGTGTGTGTGTGTGTGTGTGTGTGTGTGTGTGTGTGTGTGTGTGTGTGTGTGTGTGTGTGCGTGGTGGAATGTGTTTGGTTTTATGCTGGCTGGTTTTATGCTTTAGAATAACCTGTTAGTGTGTATGTGTGGGTTTGTATGTGTGTTTTTTGTATGCATGTATATTTGTATGTATGTTTCTTTTTTATGTGTGTATGTTTTTTGTTTGTTTGTGTTTCACATTATATCATCCAAAGATTTCATTAAGTGTACTTATTCGAAGATTAAAAATTACTTTTCATTGGCAAATTTGTCATAAAAAATTAAAACTTACCCCTGTTACCAAATAGTTGTTGTGGCTGAAAACCCAAAAGAACCAAATGGTGCATATGAACCTGGCAGGCACCCTCAAAGAACCATTTGCATCTAGCAAAAGATTTGAAGTCTCTTTAAGCACCGACAAACGCAGGCATCGATTTCAACTTGTCATTAAGGGTTTGTTTTTGTTTTTTTTTTACTGTTGCACTTTCACTTTTTCTATTTACCTTTGTCTCTCTCTTTCTTTCTCTCTCTCTTTCTCTTTCTCACGCCCTCTCTTTCTCACTTTCTTTCCATTTCGTTCTTTCTCTTTTATCTTCCTCTCTCTTTATCCTCCTCTCTCTCTTTCATTATCATTATTTTTCCACTTTGATGATGGTTGTTAAAATAATATCCAACCCACCTACCTACCTGAATAAATGTAATTGCTCAAATTTGATAGCTTTCTTTGACGTTTTTTTGAGAAAGGAAATATAAAAAGTTTTGACAGAATACCTATAATATTGCACTTTTTTTAATTACATCTCAGCCAGTTTATGAAAGCTAGACCAACAATAAAAATATACCGAATTGGCTTAAATAATACCTTCTTGTTGCCTATCTGCACCAAATTCTTTCGTAATATACAACCTACCCCATATCTCTGTATTACTACGCAAATTATTTTTAAAACACCGCATTAGAACGTTCTACTATCTAACTTATTTACCGAATACCTCGTTAGAACGTATTAATACAAGATTCAACTAATAGCTATTTGTAGTTACATTCATTCATAAACTACTTGTTTATAACGTACTAATACCAGCTATAAGTATTTGGTACCCCAATTCATTTACAAATTACCCGTTTATAACGTACTAATACCAGATTTCATAAAAAAAATACCTATTTAGTACGTACTAATACCAGGTATATCCATTAAATATCACAGAGGTGTCTAATGCAGACAGCGGTGTGTACACGTGCGAGATACGCGGGAAGCAAATGACGCTACTGGCGCAAGTAAATTACACGCTCAACATCAAAGGCAGGTTTTTTATTTTCTTTTTATTATTTTTTTATTGTTGTTGTTGTTAATGTTGTTGATGTTGTTGATGTTGATGTTGATGGTGTTCTTGATGTTGATGATGTTGATGTTGTTGTTGATGTTTTTGATGTTGATGCTGATGTTGATGTTGTTATAGGTGTTGATAATGTTGTTGTTGATGTTGGGATAAAATGATGGAAAGATATCGCGACGATGAAGACGATGATGAAATAATAACAAGTTATGTTGTGATCGACTAACGCAGACAACATAGCGGCGTTTGTAAGTAGGATCGGATTTAGAAATGTACAATCCTTGTAGCGATTATCCTTAATCACCTAATTAATAATAATGGACGCCCAAATTACTTAATTAATTGTGCAATTGTTTGAATAGTTGTTGTTTTCATAATTGAATGATCATATAAGTGATTGTTGGAAATTGAAAACAAGTTAGCAATTCATTTTTAGCCTATTCTACATTAATATTCGCTCACACTGTCTTCCATTGGAACCAATTTGTATTCTGCAAAAAATGATTCATGAAAATTTTGAAAATTGGTAACAGTTACATTTTTGTCAAGGTGGAGCTATCTTCTAGAGAATAAGCCCTTTCTGTCTTCCCTTAAACCCAGCCTGTCCATAAGGGGTACTAATTAATAAAAATTGGGGTATGAAATAAAAAATTTCTTTCCATCCAACAAAAAATTAACTCCCAATGTTGATGCTGGTGATGACGTAATGGTGACGGAATGATGACGTAACGATGGTAAAGACAGTGGTTAGAATATTCTTCGGCAAAGGGAGTTTGTTTGAACGGACGATAATAGAAATGTTTATTCAACGATTCGCATGGCAACGTTGATTTGGTGAAAAATATTTTTCATCAGTCAACTTTGTTTTTACATTTTTTCATCATAAATAGTTTTACTCAGAAAAATTAATTTTTTCTACATTATTGAAAAATAAGTAAAGTTGTTGAGCTTGTAAGCAATTGTGAAGAGAAAAATTACAGCAATCCCAACGGCGATGTTTACAACAGAGCATAAAAAATAAAAATATTTTTCCGAAAAACTAAAAAAAAAACAAAATAAAATTTACCCAAAATTTCAACAGGATCAATTTCACTGCCAACACAAAAAAATCTCTCACCTCAAAAATTATTCATGAAGCGCGTAAATCAATTTAGACACTTTCATTCATTTTTTATTTAATTATTTTTTATTTCTCGCCAAACAACGTTGAAAAAGGTTTTTCAGGTGAAACTAACTCGATGTTGTAAATAAAATTAGCAATAACTAGTCTGAAACAACACGGAAATAAAAAGTAATCAACAAATTTCCAAAAATTTGTCAAAAAAGAACACAGATAACAAAATTTTTAAATTAAAAAACACAGATAAAATTTGTTTTTTCAAATTAATTTTTCATTTTTTTCAATAATTTTAAGCTTGCTTTAACGCAATTTTGGCTAGAGGCTAATACATATATATTTAAAAAATTTAGTTTTTGTGATTAACACATAAGCTCAATTAAATTAAAAATTCGAAAAATATATGAAAAAATTATATTTATTGAGTGTTCTGTATAATTTTTAATTTTATTATGAAATTATTTTAAAGATTATTTTACAAATTGTTTTTATCTTCTTCTTGATTTTGTATTTTTTAAAAATTTTTTGAAATTTTCAGCGCGCAGGGCAAAAAAACATAATTTTGTTTTCTTTGCATAGACACGCAACTTCAAAACTTATTTTGTATCTTTGTTTCGCTTTTTTTGTCTTTTCTCCTTCAAAATTCAACAAATGTTTTTAAAATTTTAAATTCTCAAACTTCTTAAACATCTTAATCAACCTAAACAAATGTTTTTATGATGGCATCAACACCTGTCCTTTCTGCAACAATCATACAGATGATGTTCAACATTTGTTTAGCTGTCCTCAAAACTCCACGGATCTTCAACCAATAGACTTCTGGAGCAACCGTGTTGCAGTGGCGGATTGGCTCCGACCTTGATTGGAATCCTGAGGGCCCCCCAGAAATGGCAACAACAACAACAAATGTTTTTGTTTATTTTGCAGCGAGAAACCTGAAAAATATCAATTCTGCCTTTATAATTCTTGAAAATAATTTTTTAATAAATTTTCGTTGCCAATGAATAAAATATTTGCAATGTAACTTGAATGGAAAGTAACATTTTAAACTTTCAGAAATACACTTCATACTATTGTACCATGCCTGGCCTACTATTGCTTGTACGTAATTTGGGTGGCGTTGTTTATATGTCTGAACTCATGAAGAGTGTATGAAAACATTGACCTCGTTATCGTTGACTCTACAGTTTCATGCCAAACACTGAATCACTTTTTTGCTAAAAAAAAACATTTTTCAGTTTATCTAACTTCATTAAATTTTTAAATAAAATCTCATGAATAATTTTTTTAAGAAAGAAAAATATACAAAACAAACAGAAGTATAAAAATTCAAAGTTGAACTAAAAAAAAAATTTCAAAATTCTTAAATCTCAGAATTCTAAAAATTCTAAAAACTCAAAGTTGAACTAGAGACCAAATCATAATATAGAAAGAGATAATTAGATTAAATATACCAGAAAGTTAGTTTGTCGCATCTGTTGGGCACTACAGTCCGTTTAATCCTGTGAAAATAGAAAAAATTTTTGAATGTTATTTTTATTCTGCTTTGTTTATTCAAATATGTTTTTTTTGTTTTTTTTATTAGTATTTTTTGGAGTTTGAAAAATCAATCCCGGCTTACGTGCGTGGGTAAGATTGAAGGAATTTTTGAGATTGGATCAATGCATGAAAGCATGGCATATTTTTCTTAGTACATGTGTGTGTGTGTGTGTGTTTGTTTGGGTAGTGTATATGTGTGTTTGTGTGTGTGTGTTTTTAAGTGGGTTTGGATGGGAATAAGTGTGTGTGTGTCTGTGTGTCTGTGTGTGTGTGTGTGTCTCTGTGTGGTGTGTGTGAACTGTGTGCGTGTTTGTGATAGTATAAAGGTATGTGTGCATATATGTGTGAATTTTTTTTCTCGAACATTACAATTAAATTTTTGCATCTATTTATTGCACGTCTTAGCAATTTTTAAAACTGCAGCTGTGCTCATAATCCACCTGTTGCCATTAAATATGAATGACATACAGAACATTAACAATTGTCGTTGCTTTTATTGTTATTATAAGTATATATATTTATTATTTTTATCAATTGTATTATTTTATTGCGATAGTTAATGTTATTGTTTATTAAATATTATTATTATTATTATTATTATTATTATTATTATTATTATTATTATTATTATTATTATAGCCTAATTATGTTAATGTAATAATTTGTTTCAAAATCATTTCAAACCAGAGCCTATAACTTCAATCCACATATCGCCTCGTCATTTTCGACATGCCAAACATTCGAGTAGTAGAAGTAGGAGCAGTAGTGGTAGTGAAAGTAGTATTAGTAGTGGTAGTAGTAGTGGTAGTAGTAGTGGTAGTGGTAGTAGTAGCTTCATTAGCTTCTACCCTTATACAACACATCATCATCATCATTACCCGTCTGGTCGTTGTAATCATCATCAGCATTACTATCGCAATGATGATGATGAGGAGGAGAATAACGATGATGGTATGTCAAAATTCTACGCGGCTGTGCCGCAGACAAAAGAGTATTGGCGGGAAAATTACGTAAGTGATTATGGTGATTGAGATTGGTTGGTTGGCTGGCTGGCTGGCTGGCTGGCTGGCTGGTTGGTTGGTTGGTTGGTTGGTTGGTTGGTTGATTGGTTGGTTGGTTGGTTAGTTGGTTGGTTGGTTGGTTAGCTGGCTGGCTGGCTGGCTGGTTGGTTGGTTGGTTGGTTGGTTGGTTGGTTGGTTGGTTGGTTGGTTGGTTGGTTGATTGATTGGTTGGTTGGTTGGTTAGTTGGTTGGTTGGTTGGCTGGCTGGCTGTTTGGTTGGTTAGTTGGTTGGTTGGTTGGTTGGTTGGTTGGTTGGTTGGTTGGTTGGTTGGTTGGTTGGTTGGCTGGTTGGCTGGTTGGTTGATTGGTTAGTCGGTCGGTCGGTTGGCTAGTTGGACGGCTTTGTTAATTGCCATGTTATTATCATTATCATATTTATAGTCCCTATATGACAATATATTTATTTCTTCACATTTGACATCAATTGAATTAAATTAACTTTCTCTTCCCACGGAACTTTTATCTTTATAATTGAAATCTTGAAAAAAAATTCGTTTTTATTTTTTAGAAAATTTCTTTCAAGAAAAAAATCATTTTTTTCTGTAAAATTTTGATTAATTTCCATTTTTCAGTTTGATTCATTATAATTGCGTTACTTTTATTTAAGCCGGTCTTACTTCTCATGGAGGTATTTCCGTGTAGCTTGATTTGTTGTGAGATTGTTTTAATAAATTGAGTTTGTGTGTGTGTGTGTGTGTGTGAGTGTGTGTGTGTGTGTGTGTGTGAGAGTGTCATAATTAATTTTTTATATAAACTAATAGATTGAAAACATTTTTATAGATTTTTAAAAAGATCCTTCATCTTCGTTTTGAAAACAGCAATTTATTATAATCTAATTATCTTTTTCTCTCTTTCTTTCTTTTTATCTCTCTGCCCCCCCTCTCTCTCTCTCTCTCTCTCTCTCTCTCTTCATTCAATTAAATTTTTAATTCTTATTCTCAACACGCATAGGAAAAATTTATGCTTTTGCTGAGCGTTCAGAAAAACAGAAACAGCAACAACAACAACAACAACATTAATAATAATAATGATAACAAAAATAAAAACAACAACAGCAATAATAACAACAACAATACCACCAACAACAATAACAATAGTAATAATAACACACGCCTTAGCCGATTTTTCCTCAAACCACCTCGAGTTACACAAGAAGAAACGAAAATCTCTGAAAATGATTTATCGAACTTTGGCGGAGTTTTTTCAAAAAGTTTTAACGACACCGCCGACTTGAACAAACTTGAAAAATATGTAAATAATTCAGCCGATTTGCATCAGAAATATCACGTCAACAATGCAAGCAACAACAACAACATGTACAATAACAACAACTACAATCTCAACAACATGTACAACAACAACATGTACAATAACAACAACTACAATCTCAACAACATGTACAACTACAACAACACTGCAGCCAACAATCGAGACATAATTTTCTACAAACACACAACGACAACAACAACGTCAAAGACAACTACCCAACAACATCGAGTCTACCAACAACCAAACCACCGTCACAACAATACACACACGCAACATCAACAGCATAGAATAATTTACTTTCCAACACTGAAACCAATCCTAACTCAACTTTCTTCAAACAATTTACATTCCAACGAAAAATTATTGCCGCAACACTTGAAACAACAACATTTGCAAACTCAACGACAACAACAGCAACAACAACAACAACAGCAGCAACAACAACAACAGCAACAACATCAACAACAACAACATTATCCAGAACTTTCAAATGCAAAACATCTACAACTACATACACAAACACAAAAACAAAGTACAACTCAACAACAACACATACAACAACAACTGAGACAAAACGCATCAAAAATTTCATCCACGCCAAATTTGAAACTTCTCTCCATCCTACCGACCACAATAAGTTGTGTGGTCGTGTGTGGCCAGCCACCGATAGACGTGCACATTTTTATGGGTAATAAGTCGCTTGCTGGCCATGTCGACATTGATACAATCGTTGATACTACATCGGGTGATGTTGGTCAGTTTTTATGTTTGTATGTTTTGGTTATTTTGTTTTTGTATGTTTCTGTATGTTTTTTTTTGTTTTGAATGTTGTTGTTTTTGTCAGGATGTTGTATTACATGTTTTGTATGTTGATTTTTTGTATGTTTCTGGTAGTACTTTGCTGGTCAATTGTATTGCATGCCTTGTATGTTTTGTTTTATATGATGTTGTATTGTATGTTGTTGTTTTTTTTTTGTATATTTTCACTTTGTATGTTGTACTATGACGTACATAATACACTTGCGTTGTTTTTTCTACCAAAAAAATGAACAAACATACATAAACATAACCGCAAAGGTATGCGTAACGTAATATACACAACGGAAGTGACGTTGGTAGACTATCACGTGACACCGGAAGACGATTTAAAGTCTTTGGTCTGTCAAGCGGAAGTGGCTGGTTACGATCCTGTGTCTTCCATTGTTTATGTTGACGTTCAATGTACGTATATACATATACATATACTTGTATATATTGTGTGTATTAATATATAAATGTACATATTTGTTTTTATGTAAGTGTGTATGTAAGTGTGTATGTGTGTGTGTGAGAGAGAATGAGAAAGAAAGAGAGAGAGAGAGAGAGAGTGAGTAAGAGTGAAAAAAGAGAACTTTGCCTATAGCCAATTTTACGAAATTTGTATATGCCTACTTTCAAATCAAAATACCATTCATTCATATAATAAGCGTGAATAAGCTTGCATTTGAAGCCAGTAACCGCGACATATGAGTTGATATTTTATCATTTCTAACCACAAAATTATAAGTTATCCATTTGTTAATTATAGATCCTCCTGTGATAACTTGTAGACTGATATTAACGACAAACAACACCAACAACAACATTACTGACACCAACAACAACGATAAAAACATCAACTCTAAAAACATCAACAACTACAACAGCAATAACATGAAAGATATCAACAAGATAAAACCAACCGGCAAAAATAACATGAAAAACATCAACAACGTCAAAAAAATCAAGCAAAAAAGCAGGGAAAATAATAACAACAACAACAGCAGCAGCAACAACAAAAGCAACAACTACAACAAAACAATAGCAATGATAATATGCTTGGTCAATTCAAAACCCGAACCAAGGAAGTATGCGTTCATACTGGACAGCAATGGTACTTACATATACAAAAGTGGCGATGATGATGATGACGACGGCGACGATGACGATGAGACTGCTAATGATGATAACAACAACAACGATATTAATAATAATAATAATAATAATAATAATGATAATAATAAAAATAATAATAATAATAATAATGATAATGATAATGATGATGATGATGATGATGATGACGATGAGGATGGTGAGAAGTATGAGGATGATGATGAATACTATGATGATGATGACGATGATGATGATAATGAAAAAAATAACAATGATGATGATGATGATGACGATGAAAGCAGTAGATTATTTTTAAGCGACTTTGTAAGCAAATACAATGACGATGACGTTGATGATGACGTAGATGACGACGATGATGATGATGATGATGATGATGACAGTGATGATTATGATCGGCATGGAATGGATATTGGCCCGGTATTGGCGCCAGACATGCCTAAAAGTGCTTCGTCATCATCATCGTCGTCGTCGTCTTCATCATCATCGTCGTCATCATCATCATCGTCGTCATCATCATCATCGTCATCATCATCATCATCGTCATTTTTGTTTGATGGAAATGATTCGAGATTTTTGTATACAATGCCAAAGGATTTGAATCATTCGTCAATTTTGACATCGTCATCATCATCATCATCACCGTCATCATTATCATCATCATCATCTCTATCATCATCATCGTCGTCATCTCCTCGTATAAAACATAAAAAAATAATACTAGCACGTGAAAAAAGAGTGGCAATTAAAACCGCTGCAGAACAACAAATATCCGACAACAACAACAACAACAACATCAACAACAACAACATCATCAACAACAACATCAACAACAACAACATCATCAACAACAATAAAATGAGAAACAAAAATAATGTTTCCACTTTAAGCCGTAAGCTCCTATCCCGTGGTAAAAATTTCAGCTTGAGCCATCCCAACAACAACAATAATTATAATAATAATAACAACAATAACATCATCATACAGACAAATATAAAAAATAAAAACAGAAATAACATTATTTCGTCAGTTACTCGGGGTAAACAATTCAACAAAATCCAGCAACAACAACCACTTTTATCCAAAAAACAACTACAACATCAGCAGCAACAACACATTCCATCCAAACATCAAAAACAAAAGACATCAACCAGAAAAACACCCAAAACAACACCACCACTAGCAACATCGTCGTCAACAACAACAACAACAACATCGTCAGCATCTACAACAACAACATCACAAAATCAATCGACAAACTCTACTAAATTACCGTGGGTACCTTATATATCATTGAATCAACAGTTACATGAAAGTGACAGAACGTATGCCATGCACATTAAGCCATACTTTGTAAGTCTATTTGGTTGTATTTTGTGTATTTGGTATTTTTTGGTATTTTGTATGTGTATTTGGTATTTTTTGGTATTTTATATGTGCATTTATGTATTTTTTTGTATTCTTGTATGTTTATTTTGTATTTATCCGAATTGTTGTTTCTATTTTTCAAAAATTTCTCCTTGGAGCTAGTTTTTTTCTAATATTATTTGCGAAAGAAATATTTTTAACATGTTTATGGCTATTATTATTATTATTATTATTATTATTATTATTATTTATACTATGATTAGTTGACTGATAGTAGTAGTAGAAGCAGTGGTAGTAGTAGTAGTAGTAGTAGTAGTAGTAGAAATAGTAGTAGTAGTAGTAGTAGTAGTAGTAGTAGTAGTAGTAGTAGTAATAGTAGTAGTAGTAGTAACAGTAGTAGTATATATTATATTATTATTATTATAAATTTTTTATTGTTTGCCTTCTTCTTTCATTCAAATTTGTAAGCAATTTGCTAATGTGGGCAACTAATGTAATGTTTCGAATCGATTTATATCGTTTCGTCTCGCCTGTCCTTGTTCTCGTTTCGTTTCGGCCAACGCTGGCGCTTCGATGGCCATCAGACGACAAAATGTTCTAATTGTGTTTATGATGAGTAAACTTATTTATTTTGTTAGTAGTTATGTCTGTTTGTAAAGAGGGAAAAAATTATTTTTTGGCAGTTTTGTTTGCCTGTTCGTATGTGTGTGTGCGTGTGTGCGTGTTTTTTGAGTGTGTTATTGACAATTTTTTTGATTTCAAACAAATAACACTCTGCTTATTATTCTAAATTTTAACTTGTACAAATTTAAAAGATTTTCAGTTGAAAATTTTCATTTAGAATCGAAATTACTTTTTATTTTTTTGTTTGTACTCTAATTAAATTTTATTTAAATTTTTCCCTCTAAAAATAAAATTTTATTGCCCTCCGCGTTGCCTGTCTAATTAATGTCTAGATGCTACATCCCCTGAATAAATATTTGCTGGTATTAAGCCAGCAATAATGCATAGGAAATTGTTTGGAAAATTTTTATTTCAAATTTCGTCTTGTTTACTTTGTTTGCCTGTGCGTTTGTTTGCACGCGTGTGTGTGTGTAGTTGTTTGTTTGTGTGTTTGCATGTTTGTTTGTTTGTGTGTGTTGTTTTTTTTTTATTAATTTATGTATGTATTATAACCTGATAAAAAAATGAATAGGTGTGTTGTGTTTGTATATTAGCTTATGTATGTGTGTGTTTATATGCTTGTTTGTTTGTGTGTGTTTGTGTGTATGATGTGTGCGTGTATTCTCTGTTACATAACTTCCAGTTTGATAAATAAATCTCAAAACCACACAAACAAACACACACACACGCAGGCAAACACAATTCTTTACAAGAAAATGTGTGTGAATATCGCTCTGTTTACAATGTAATGAGTAAATACACACTATTATAATGTGACCTTTTACGGTTTGTTGGTCTACGGAAATTGTGTATGTAGAATTTACGATAAAGAAAAAATTTATTTGCCTATATGGCTGTGTATGTAAACATTGTGAAGCATTTTGTATGCGTCTGTATGTATGCTTGTTTGTTTACGTGTTTGTATGTGTGTATATAATCTGTACATGTTCTGTATGTTTGTTTGTTCATGTATTTGTATGTGTGTATACAATCTGTATAAGTTCTGTATATTTTATGTTGTATGCGACGTGTGTCTGTATGTATACATGTTTGTATTTTTGCATGTACGCATGTACTTCTATGGTAATTATTACTTCGATATAAGTGTGTATCATTTTTTAGTTAATGTATCAATTTTTGTATAAATAAATTAAAAAACATAAACATTTGTATTGGCAACCTTCAAAAAAAAAATCACATTCTTCATACTTTAACATTATTATTAAAACACTTTCAAACTCAATTAAAAACTATTTTTTGATTTAAAATTACAAAAATTTCATACTAACAATATAAAATCTCTTTCTAACGCTACTATTGAATTTAATCACATTAATCATTCCTAATGCATGAGTTTGGGCAGTATTGTTGTCCGGCCGAAGGAGGAATTGAACCGGGGACCTTCGACACGAAAGCTTTCCATCTAATTTCTTCTTACAGTGCAAAAAACGTTCGAAACCTTTGAGATTCTTCTAATGAGAATCAGTTGAGTTTTGTATCTCCACGTAATTTTTATATTTCTATTTTCCTTTTTACGCTTTCGTTATAAAATTTAGTAATCAGTTACTTTGAGTATTTTATTTGAAATTTTAGAATTTTGATGATATATAAATATATATATATATATATATATATATATATATATAGAAAGAGAAAAAGAGAGGAGAGGTAGTGAGTAAAAGAAAGAAAGAGAGAGAGAGAGAGTAATATCATTTTTAATATCTTTTACTTTCTTACTTCTATTTTATTTAGTCTCAGCCCATAAAATACATTTATTCTCGACCACAACCTTAACCTAACAAAAAAAAGGTATATGTTTGTTTTAGAAACACGTTTTAGTTAGAGACCACGCTCGATTGAATTCGCCTCGCCACGCTTCGGCGAGCAATCTTTTGTTTAATGTCTTTGTACTGCCTACTGCCCGGTGTGGTAGTTTTTTTACTTGAACCTTATCTAATGTACGAGATGTATGTTGTATGTTTGGCTGTTTCGCTTTGTTTTGTTTGTTTGGCGCTTCACAAGTTAATGAGTTGTTTTTAACTTTTTATAAAATTTGTAGATATATATATGTGAAGATTTGTATAAATATATATGTTTATCAATACAAGTTAATAACATTTCAAACGATTGGTTTGATATCTGAAACACCATTCTACAGACTACAAACCCGAATCAATCTATCTCTCATCATCATCATCATCATCAACATCTTCATCATCTTCATCATCATCATCATCAACATCAGCAATACAATCATTATCATCACCGATACCATCATTTGTTTCCGGAGCATGGGGTGTCGAACCCGGCACAGGCGAGGTGGGTGGTTTTGAAGATCCGAGTGAGGCCCCTGAGTAGCCAGTACACCTTGGTTGTCACCAATGATGTTGCCTCTACAGTCAGTCTTGTTTACACTGCAGGTTGGTTAGTTGGTTGGTTGGTTGGTTGGTTGATTGGTTGGTTGGTTGGTTGGTTGGTTGATTGGTTGGTTAGTTGGTTGGTTGGTTGGTTAGTTGACTGACTGGCTAGTTGAATGATTGGTTGGCTGATTGGTTGGTTGGTTGGTTGGTTGGTTGGTTGGTTGGTTGGTTGGCTGGTTGGTTTGTTGGTTGGTTGGTTGGTTGGTTGGTTGGCTGGTTGGTTGGTTGGTTGGTTGGCTGGTTGGCTGGTTGGTTGGTTGGTTGGTTGGTTGGTTTTTTGATTGGTTAGTTGACTGACTGGCTAGTTGGATGATTGGTTGACTGATTGGTTAGTTGGTTGGTTGGTTGGCTGGCTGACTGGCTAGTTGGATGGTTGGTTGGCTGATTGGTTGATTGGATGATAGATTGGCGGTTCAGCCAATGAGTGACCAATTCGTTTGTATTATTTTAAATAGTAACATTGACTTTTTCCAAATTTTTAAAATTTTATAAAGAATTTTTTAGTAAAAATCTACCTTTATCATTAGAGCTTTTAATTAACTTCTTAAAAGAAAAATCAGACCACATCAATAAGATCCTGCCTATATTAACAACTGTTGCATTTGAAACAATTCTTACATGAATGTTCAACAGCCTTATAAACACGCCTTGCCTAGAGACTTGATTAAATTCTTTGGTAGGCCAAAGATAAAATATACAATGGCTCTTTCTAACACATCCCTCATATGTAATCTTTTTAACACGATGGTAATGATGGTGATGAAGACAATGATGGTGGTGATGACGATGATGATTATGACGACGACGACGATGATTCTGGCAACGATGATGATTATCTAAAAAAATAAGATGATGATAAAAATTATGACGTCATTTCCGTGTTTTGAAAAAAACGATAATAACTAATACGCAATAATGGAAACTCAATGGATTTCTTCCAGGTTAAGTTACTAAATAAACAAGGTTTACATTACAAATTAAACACAAAAACAAAGCCAGTATGCCTGCATTGGTATAGATAAAAAGAGAGAGAGGGAGAGAGAGAGAGAGAGAGAAATGACGAGAAAGAGAGTGTGAGAAAGAGACATGTGTGGGTATGAGTGTGTGTGTGCGAGTTTGTTTGTTTGTATTTATTTGCGTATATGAATGTGTGTCTGTGTGTGTTTGTGTGTGTTTTTGTTTCTATGTGCATATGTATTCACGTATATATATATACAACAACAATCAT